CTGGGTGTCCTTTGTTGGTTTCAGGGCTCCCGTAACGGGGTTTATAGGGCTTTGTGTTTAGAAGGTTTAAGGTTTTTAGAGTTTAGGGTTTAGGGTTTAGGGGTTTAGGGGTTTGGGGGTTTAGGGGTTTATGGGGTTTAGGGGTTTAGGGTTAAGCGTTCAGGGGTGTAGGGTTTAGGGTTTAGGGGTTGAAGGTTTAGGGGTTGAGAGCCCTTACAGGGAAGGGGGGTCAACCAGCAAGGCTTGAGAGACTCACATCTTCATAAGATACAGACACTACTCATTCCAAAGATCACAGCAGCCATAACAAAAAACCCTAAAACCTAAGCCCTAAACCCTAAACCCTAAACACTCTGAACAACAACATGCATGCGAATTAACAAAAATTGAACTGTAGCAATGACAGTCTTGAGTGCATCCCTTGGCCGTCCTCGCTGCCGCAGCTGCTCCCTTCTCGCTGTGGGTTGAGCAGCCATGAAGACAGCCGATGGTTCTTTTGGGCCTCATACCGTATCATGTGAGCACCCAGCTGTTGAGGTTCGAAAGGGAATGGGTTGGTAAGCAGATATCGAGAAATGGCAAGATGCATTCGCCAGAGGAAGTGCCACACTAGTTGGGGTGGCCCAACGACCCTATCCAACTCAAACCTCAGCCCTAGCCGCAGCTTCTTTCTTGTCGCCTAGGTCAGCGCCCTTAGGGAGATGTCATGTCGTCCCAGGGGGATCGCAAGTGGCGGCGCCGCGATCCGAGCGTAGACGACCGGAAGAGGAAGCGCGATGACAAGAAGGAGAAGAAGGAGAAGGACCGGCGGGACGACCGCCGGGACGACCGGCGAGATGACCGCCGGGATGATCGCCGGGACCGGGACGACCGACGGGATGATCGCCGCGAGGATCGCCGGGAGACAGAGCGCAACCGGGACGCCTGTCTGCATTGCACTAAACCTGAAGGGATTGCTGCAATATGTAGCCACTCCAGAGTCAACGAATGTGCTGTTGTGTGGGTGGGTACATGGACCGTCATGAAAATATCATGGAAGCCCGAAGAAATTTTGGAAAACAGGGTTGCGGCAGGGATTACGGTGACCAGAGAATCCAAAAGTCAAGTAGAGCTGCGAGAGCTGAATCTCAATCGACGCATAAGATTGTGTCCCCGGTACCGGTCTTCATGACATGTCACAGGAGCATCAGTTTCTCTGAGTATTTTGTACTTCCGTCGCCGTCGGCATGGGCACTTCGACCTTGATGTTTAAACAGGCCAAAGGCCTTTGCAAATTGAAACCCAGAACCCAACAGCCCTAAGACATGCCGAGAGTTACAAAATACCTGTACCCTCAATCCTCGTACTATACCCAGGCCCAATGCCTAACACACTTACATAAAGAAAAACAAGGTCATACACCTAAACCCTTTGAGCCCCTCACAGCGTTATAGATACCCAAATGCAATACTAATCCCCTGACCCTGGGACTCGCCAAGGAGAAGAACGACGACCGTCGGAGACGCGTCGACCGGTCGCCCGAGCCGCCGAAATCGCCGCCCCCGTCTCCTCCGGCCAAGGTGGCCAAGCCGGCCATAAACTGGCGGGAGACTGGGCCGAAAAGGTGGTTTTCGGGCATAGGGTTGAGGATTCAAGGTTTAGGATTCAGGCTTAAGTAAGGGTTAGGGAGACTTTCAATTCCGTTTAACAAGGGTTCACAAAGACTTTGTGGAGCAGGGCTCCTACAGGCCAAAGAGGCCAGGGTTGAGGGCTTAGAAAGCGAGACTAGCTGTGTTTGCTTCGGCATCTCTCGAGAATTTGGGTGGTGCATCGGGGTTTAAGGTCTTAGGCGCGAGACAGGAGTAGGGACTAGGGTTTGGGGTTTAGGGATTAGGGTTTAGGGATTATAGGGATTAGGGTTTAGGGTTTAGGGTTTAGGGATTAGGGATTAAGGTTTAGGGTTTAGGGTTTAAGGGGTTCTGGGACTTGACATTGCAAGGGGGCCTGGATACGTAACAGAAATTAACACGTCGCCTAATTAGGGCCTAGGAAAACGGGTGTGTTCAGGTGCTTTCAGGTACCTGGCGGGAGTCTAGGTCTTTCTAGCTGTTGCAAAAGGTTTAATGGGGGGTTTTTGCTAGTTGGAGGTGAACCCTAAGGCCAGAACAGCGGAACCTTTCGAGACAGCCCGAGGAAGAAGCCGGGGAAGCCGAAGATCTGCGCGACAACTCCGACGACGAGGACATGAGGGTTGATACCGTTTCCATTCCACTTTCCCCTAGGGTCGGATCCCTCGGATTCGGTTTTGGGCTAGGTTACCGTATAGGGATTACATGGAAAATCTCGTTCCCTGAAGTCAGGTTCCGGATCAATTCAACACTCCTCCCTCAGCAGGGAGCCCTCCTAAACATAGATATTCAGATGCTGGCAGCGCAAGCGGGACATTGCTTGAGAAGAGCAGCTTGCAGTCCCTGCTAAAAGTGCCAGAAGTATCTCAGAATTGGGCCAAATCACCTACCCCTAGAAAGGCAATACAGAAGCCTAAATAATTACCTGTACTATTTTGGGGGTTCCTTATTATGATTGTAGTATTATGGGTCCCAAGCCCAATTCTATAATCATTAAGGCCTCTATGTTAGATTCTTTGAGGTCGAGGTAGGGTTCGGAGATTGGGGGTCGAGTGGGAGGTTCGTGTCCAGATCAATCTGAAGCTCTTGCCTCCACTTTAGGGTTTAGGTTATAAGGGGGTTTAGGTTTTGGGGCAGTTAAGGGTTTAGGGAACTTATTGGGTTTAGGTTTAGGGTAGCACCCTTGTGCGTGTTAAGCGGGGAATCCGAAGACGGAAGACCTTTAGGGTTTAAGGTTTAGAGTTTAGGGTTTATATAGGGTCCACTGCGATCGCATCCCCCAGACCTGTGTAAAGCGCCGCCGCTGATGTGAGGAGGCGGCCGCCAGAAGATTGGAAGAGAGCCGACGCTTGGCTAAGGGGGGTTGGCATTGCCGGCTAAGGATTAAGGGCCTAAGATGCAAACCCTAAACCGCCTCAACCCTAAACCCTAAACCCTAAACCCTAAACCTTAAACCCAAAACCCTAAAACCCTAAACCTAAATCCGAAACTCCAGATTTTAAGCCGCATGGGTCGATTTTTGCAAGGGTGAGGGCCGCCACTAAGCGTCGAGGGTTGAGGAATCCGACACCTGAACCCAACTGGCTTAAGGCTTTCCAGGCTTTTAAGGTTGAGGCCTGGGGTTTGGGGTGTTAATATAGGGGCACAAACAAGTTCAAGAGGATACTGTAGGGGCCTCAACAATTACCTATGTTTTTTTTGGGGGGGTTCCTTATTATAGTCATACTATAATATACCCCAAAATTCCGGGTCTACTTGTCAAGGCCCCTATATTAATGGCTTTCCAAACTTAAAGGTTGAGGCCTGGGGTTTGGGGTTTTAGGTTGTTTAGGTCTAGGGTTTAGGGTGTATAGGTTTAGGGATGAATGATTAGGGATTTAGGGTTTTGGTGGTTTAGGGTTGAGAGAAATCCTCGGGTGGGATCCACCTTCATCCAGGATTCCTAGATTGCTCCCAAACCTAAAACCCTAAACCCTAAACCCTAAAAACTTAGCGGGAAACCCCGACGAACCCTCAGCCCGCCACGCTCTAGACATGGAGACGCTTATTGGCCTTCCTCCTTCTCAATCAATGAAGCAATTCTCCTCTCAGGACCCCTTTAAATGGGAGTTTCCGAAAATAGTACCTTATGTTGGGGTCCGTCTATTAAGGAATCTACTGTTTAGGGTGCTATATTAGGGTCCCCTATTTTCGGAAACCCCAAATCAACCCTGTAGAGAACCCCGAAAGGAACCCCTAAAGGACCCCCCCCCCAAGGAGCTCAACTTGGGTTTAGGGTTTAGGGTTTAGGGTTGAGTCATTGAGGGTTTCCGAATCGATCAGGAAAGCGCAGGGCAGCGCTGATGGCCCAAGCGAAAGAGGAGAAGAAAGAGGAGAAGAACGAGGCGACCATAAGACCATTGACCGTAAGAGTGTATTCAGTGAGCCCACAGCTTATCTAGGGTCTTGGGCGTAATATAGGGGCCTTAATAATTAGAATAAGTTTTTTGGGCCCATTATACTACAATTATAATAAGGAACCCCCAAAATAGTATTGGTAATTATCCACCATTACTTTAGTTTTATTCTTCGGGGCTATCTCGGGAATTCGGCTTCAGGTTTTTGGGAGTCTGACTCCAGGTCTTGACTTGGGGTCTTTCAGGGGTTACCCTAAGGGTCCAAGTACCTAATAATGATAGACTTTCCCAAATACTAACCAACAAATCTACTACGTATCCATAACCCAAGTAGCCAATGACTGGGTCCTTGAGACCCTTGGGGTTAGGTTCAGGCATCTTCTGGGGTCGAGCGTTTGGTGTGCGATTGTTTTTTGGGGGGGCCGAGAGTGGCTATGGCGTTGGGTAACTACGAGTTTGATGAAGGACTCAAACGAGTCTATTTGGGCTGAAAGGGGTGTGTGGGCACAGGCTTCTGATATGGTTCAGGGTGTAATATGGAAGCCGGAAAAATTACCAACATTACTGGTAGGGTTCCTTAATATAATTATGCTATAAAGGAGCCCAAAAACCCT